TGCAGCTCTATCTAACGGCCTGATTGTGTGTGCAACATTTGATTTACAAAAAGTACTTTCTTGCCCACATGGTCAAATGAGTATTTTATACTACAAACGTAAGTTATCTTGCTATAATTTGACTGTATTCGATATGGCTCGTAAAGAAGGTTTTTGCTATGTTTGGGACGAGAGTATTGCCAAACGTGGCGCTAATGAAATATCTAGCTGTCTGTACGACTTTATAAAAACAAATGCTCAGAATGGGACTAAAGAATTTAGGTTTTGGTCAGACAACTGTGCTGGCCAAAATAAAAATCGAATTATGTTTGCAATGTATGCTTTCGCGGCTGGAAAATTTGGAGTAAAGATAACACATCGTTTCCTAGAAAGGGGACACACTCAAAACGAAGGAGACAGTGTACATTCTGTCATTGAAAGGGCTGGGGAAAACAAAGTGATATACACGCCCGAAGAATGGAAGTTATTGATCAGATGGGCCAAGACTAGTGATAAACCGTACCAGGTGAGAGATGTAACTCAAGATAATGTTTTCGATTTCAAAATGCTACTATCGAATCAAAACTGGACAAAAAATGCCAATGGCCAAAAAGTGACATGGAGCAAAATCAGGGAGGTGGTAGTTGAAGATAGTAAAAATCTACTATATAAGACTAGTTTGGACAATGATTCCATGACTCTGGTCATTGGCAAGAAAACAAGAAACAGTGGTTATGAAAACATCATTTTGAAAAAGGCGTATTCACAACCAATTCCCCTTGCGACTGCGAAGTTTAACGATCTCAAAAGCCTTCTAGAATCGGGAATCATACCCAGCAGATATCACAGCTTTTTTCAAGGGTTGCCGCATGGTCGGGTTGAAGAAATAGAATCAGATCCTGATGAGTAGAATGATCTAATTTTATATAGCTTTCTATTTTCTAATACTTAATTTTTGAAGTTTGAACTTCTTTCTTGCTATAATTTTATTGTAGTTGTTAGTGAAACTTAAGACTGATTTGATTCATATTAAAATAAATATGAAACGTCCTAATGATAATTATGTTTATGAGTAAAACTTTTTAGACTGATTTTTCTTAAATATATAAAACTGTTGCTATTTTGGATAAAGAATTTTTATTTTTTGATAGGTAGGAGACACGACCTGATTTATGTTTTACTTTGTTTTATGTAAGAATAAGTTTTTGTTGAGAAGATCATGTTTTTTTTTTATTTAAATAATTTAGAGAAGACATCAGTGTTGTTGATTTTTTATAATAATGTTTATAAGTAAAGTTTTTTAGAATGACTTTTGTTATAAATAATGAAACTGTTGCATTTTGATACACAAAGATTTTTTATTTTTGATAGGTAGGAGACACCTTATTTATGTTAAAACTGAAAGTTTTTAATTTGTTTTATGTATGATTAAGTTTTTTTGAGGAGAAAATGTTTTTTTTTTTTTAATTTGAATAATTCAAAATAATAAGTGCTGTTGATTTTTGATTATTTTCATTCATACGTTATCTTTATTATTTAATAAATGAACAATGAAACCTAATAAACATATTTTTTATTTATTACCTCCAACTTTCTTTAACATCCGACGAGAACAGATGGCAGAAGTTCCGTAGAATACTGACTAAAAGTGACATACGTCATTGAGTTCATATAAATAACACGTAGAACAACGACGGATTATCACATACATCTCCAAATTGTCCGTAGAACAATGACGAATGTGATTTTTACAAAAAACTAAGTGTTTCAGGAGATCGTTTCATTTATTATATATAAAAACATCTTAATATATTTAATATTCCCAAATTTGAAGTCGAACAACGCAGTAGTTTTTTTTTATTCACAAAAAACCTGTTCCAAAACTTCAAAACGCTCTCCTGAAAACCTAGCAATTTTCAGATACGTCGTTGTTCGACGACGCCGACGGTCTGTTGTTTATTTCTCATTCAGAGTCAGGGGCGTTCTAAAAGCGCGATCGTCTTTTGTTACCTACAAGCCTGATATGTCCTTGAGAGACTTACACTAGCGGTAGAATCGTCTTTTGTTTTTCTACTACTGATTCCCCTTTGCTTATGGCTTATTGTGGTCTCCAGGCGGTGTCAATCCTCCTATCGTGCGCGGTGTACGGTCACGTGGTATCGCTGGGCGGGTGCGCGGGCGTTGCGCTGGTGTTCGCGGCGGCGCTGTTACGAGTCTACTGCCGGCGGCGGCTGCGTGCGCGCAAACTATGCGAGTCACTTTCGTTTGTGGTTGATTCTGTAGATTCTTTTGTTTATTTCTCCTCGAGTTGCAGCGGCGTTCTAATCGTGGGATTGTTTTTTGTTATTTTCGCCCTGTTGCGGTTCGTCTTTTGTTGTTGATTGCTCTTGAGTAGTAGGGGCGTTCTAAAAGCTCGATCGTCTTTTGTTACTGCGAGTGCGCACGCAGCGAGAGTCCTTTTTACTCTGACTGGGCCAATTTTTTGATCGTCTTTTGTTTCTCGTTGAGTAGCGAGGGCGTTCTAAAAGCGCGATCGTCTTTTGTCATACTCCTGCCTGGTTTCTGCTGATGAATTGGTGTTCTAACAGTATGATCGTCATTTGTTATGCTACGGCCTCTTCTTTTTGTGGCAGGGGTTTTCTAACAGCGGGCGGAATCGTCTTATTGATCGTGTTTTGTTTTCTCGCGATCCCATTCACTTGAGCAGCGTACTAACACGACGTTGTCCAGGTTTCTTTCTCCTTTGCTTGTCTTTTGTTATTTTGATCGTCTTTTGTTATTTTAATGACGTAATCTCTCCAGGCGGTGTCAATCCTCCTATCATGTGCCGTCTACGGTCACGTGGTATCGCTGGGCGGGTGCGCGGGCGTGGCGCTGGTGTTCGCGGCGGCGCTGTTACGAGTCTTTTGCCGACGGCGGCTGCGCGCGCGCAAACTATACAAGTCACATTCGTTTCTGATTGAATCTTTAGATTTTAGATGATCTTTTGTTTATTTCTCCTCGAGTGGCAGCGGTGTTCTAATCGTAGGATCGTCTTTTGTTATTCCCGGCAGCGCAGCAGCGAAGGTACAGAGAGTCCTTTTTTATTCCTGACGCCCAGTCAGGAATAAAAAACTCTTGATCGTCTTTTATTTCTTTTTCGTCGAGTGGCGAGGGCGTTCTAATCGTGGGATCGCCTTTTGTTATTTACGCCCTGTTGCGGTTCGTCTTTTGTTATTGCCGGCAGCTGCAGTGCGCGCAAGCTAAAGTCCTCTTTTATTTATTGGGCTATACTCTCGATCGTCTGTTGTTTATTTCTCATTGAGCGTCAGGGGCGTTCTAAAAGCGTGATCGTCTTTTGTTACCTACAAGCCTGATATGTCCTTGAGAGACTTACTAGCGGTGGAATCGTCTTTTGTTTTTCTACTACTGATTCCCCTTTGCTTATGGCTTATTGTGGTCTCCAGGCGGTGTCAATCCTCCTATCATGTGCGGTGTACGGTCACGTGGTATCGTTGGGAGGATTCGCGGGCGTGGCGCTGGTGTTTGCGGCGGCGTTATTACGAGTCTACTGCCGGCGGCGGCTGCTATTACGAGTCAATTTCGTTTCTGATTAGTTCTTTAGATTGTCTTTTGTTTATTTCTCCTCGAGCGGCAGCGGCGTTCTAATCGTGGGATCGTCTTTTGTTATTTACGCCCTGTTGCGGTTCGTCTTTTGTTATTGCCGGCAGCTGCAGTGCGCGCAAGCTAAAGTCCTCTTTTATTTATTGGGCTATACTCTCCATCGTCTGTTGTTTATTTCTCATTGAGCGGCAGGGGCGTTCTAAAAGCGCGATCGTCTTTTATTATCTACAAAACTGATAATTATGTACTTGAGAGACTTACTAGCGGTGGAATCGTCTTTTGTTTTTCTACTACTGATTCCCCTTTGCTTATGGCTTATTGTGGTCTCCAGGCGGTGTCAATCCTCCTATCATGTGCCGTCTACGGTCACGTGGTATCGTTGGGAGGATTCGCGGGCTTGGCGCTGGTGTTCGCGGCGGCGCTGTTACGAGTCTACTGCAGGCAGAGAGAAGTGCACGCGTAGCGAGAGGGCTATACTCTTGATCGTCTCTTGTTGATTTCTCATTGAGTGGCAGGGGCGTTCTAAAAGCGCGACCGTCATTTGTTACTACGAGCGCGCACGCAGCGAGAGAACTTTTTACTCTGACTGGGCCAATCTTTTCATCGTCTTTTGTTTGTTTCTCGTTGAGTAGCTCTCGTTCTAAAAGCGCGATCGTCTTTTGTCATACTCCTGCCTGGTTTCTGCTGATGGTGTGCTGATGAATTGGTGTTCTAACAGCATGATCGTCATTTGTTATTTGTTTCCAACAGCGGGCGGAATCGTCTTATTGATCGTGTTTTGTTTTCTCGCGATCCCATTCACTTAAGCAGCGTACTAACGACGTTGTCCAGGTTTCTTACTCCTTGGCTTGTGCTGCCCTCTTGATCGTGTTTTGTTATTCTGATGACGTGGTTTGCAGGCGGTGTCGATCCTCCTATCGTGTGTGCGTCTACGGTCACGTGGTATCGATGGGCGGGTGCGCGGGCGCTACGTGTCTACTGCCGGCGGCGGCTGCGCGCGCGCAAATTAGTTCTTTAGATTTATCTTTTGTTTATTTCTCATCGAGCGGCATCGGCGTTCTAATCGTGGGATTGTCTTTTGTTATTCTAGGCAGCGCAGGGATAGAGAGACCTCTTTTATCCGTGATTGAGCTGTACTCTCGATCGTCTGTTGTTTATTTCTCATTGAGCGTAAGAGCGCGATCGTCTTTTGTCATACTCCTGGCTGGTTTCTACTGATCCTGATGAGTTGGCGTTCTAACGGCGCGATCGTCATTTGATATGCTCCAGTCATATTATTCCTTTGAGTTGCATAGGCGTTCTAAAGGTGCGATCGTCTTTTGTTATCTACAGCGTGATACATGACGTACAAACGGCGGAGTGTTTTTTCGCTACTACCGGAATTTCTCGTGCTTATATTGATGACGTCATGTCAACAGGCGGTGTCGATCCTCCTATCGTGTGCCGTCTACGGTCACGTGGTATCGCTGGGAGGATTCGCGGGCGTTGCGCTGGTGTTCGCGGCGGCGTTATTACGAGTCTACTGCCGACGACGGTTGCGTGCGCGCAGGCAAAGAGAAGTTCACGCATAGCGGCGGGTTCGAGGTTCGGTGCCGGGTGGGTGCGGTTTAATAAAAACAGGTCAGCGTGTAACGACAGTTTGAAATTAACACGGAAAGGCTCCGTGTTCACCATCAATCCCTAATTTTTAAGTGACCCCTATGAAAACAAAATTCATATTATGTGTTACAAAACTAGCATCAATGTTTTTGCTACGTTTATAAGCGCGCGTGCACAGGTGACTTTCATAGTGACAGAATGTTTCTCCATAAATAAGAATAAGATCTATGTTGTCTCTTTTTGTATTTATGAAAGTGTAAAAAAGGATTACTGTCACGGTGACAAAAAGTCACCTGTACGCGTTGTACGAAGTACAGGACGTCACAAACACAGTCGACAACACATCAGACTGAAGTTTTGTTGCAAAATGACATCTATTACAACTGCATAAGATGCCATAATGTTTAGCTTAATGTGTCGTTGTCTGTACTTAAACTAGATACGCGATACGATAGGATTCAATTAAATAATACTGCGACACCGTATCGGCGTTGTGTCGTGCGTGTCACGTTGCGACGATCATGAAATGATGCTGCGTCGTAGCACAAAGTGACGTCGTATCGTATAAAGGTTCGGCCAAACCAACGCGATCACATGCGATCATCCGGCGTGCAGCGATGGCGATCAATGCATTTAAGTCTGGTCGCCATCGCTGCACGCCGGCTGATCGCGTTGGTTTGGCCGAACCTTAAGTGTAAGAGCTCTTACCTTCATGTGACAAGCAAAAAGATTTTGATTTTATTTCAAAATATGACACTCATGACAGTTTTTGACATAATATTTTATCCATTCTGTTTACTTTTATCACACTTACTTTATTCTAGGTAGGTTTAAATTAATAATGCATCTTAACAATAAATAAATGTGCAAGATAAGAATAGTAAACAATGTTACATATCGAATACAGCATTCAATATTTTTATCTCTTAGATATTTTGAAAACGACAAAATAAATGTATGTCACGTACCGGTTTTAATTATACTACTTATTTGTATTTAATTCGTTGGTAAATGTATTTGATTTTTTTTTTGCCTTATATCTTTACAATTGTGTCTAACCGTGAAATTAAATTATAATTCTTTAAGTATAAAAATATAAAATTCAGTCAGGCTGTAATTTTACTGAAATTATGTAATACTTTCATTGCTGTTGTTGTCTGTATTTATTATAATAAAATTATGATTTAGTTTTAGTTCTAGCAACAGGGAAAAGGAATATTCCCAAATATAAACGGCACATCTCTAAGCATAATAAAAAATTAGGAAATATGACCGTATCGTTAGGTACTGGAAAATTTTCAGTGTAACTTTTATTAATGGGACCAGCAGTGTACAGTCATGGATTGTAGTTTCGACGCTCCTCTACTAACCTTCGAGGGTACTGAACCTTCACTGGTTAGGTTTCATTGCCGGCCAAGCTTTACGTAGATCCTAGATATTCAAGAGTTGCAGTGATTATTCCTATGAATGAAATTAGGTTTCGTAAAAACAAATGAAATTAGCAATGTTGCCCCATAAAATATTCTCAGATATTGGCAGAAGCGTCGAAACTTCAGCTTATGAGTACGCAAGCGAGATTGTTTGTCAGTGTGTGTATTGAAGGCCTACGGTTAAAACTCGGTCTAGTCATGGATATCTTCTAAGCTCTGGCTTACTAGGACAGCGGTGCAGTTATTTTGCAAGCGTTATATCGATAGTTCGACTACGTTTGTCTACAGTACCTTTTAATATGTAAAGTCCAGTGACGTCAATCCGGTCATATGACGTTACAGAAATGAGAAAAAACTTTCGGCGCATTAAAGCGGCCGCTCAATTACGGCACCGCTATTCTTGTAAAACAGAGCTTTACCTTGGAAACTTACTGTTCAAAATTGTTTAGTGTTGTATCTCTTTTTGGACAGTACAATGAGCTAAAGCCTGGTCCGTGAGCACGTAGAATTTTGTCCAATGACCCCAAGCTACCCAAGCTATCGCGCTCGCACACTCACTGCGGGCGCCCGTCGCACAGTCGCGACAGCAACATAATTACGCACGAGCGATAAAGATGGGTAGCTTGGGGTCATTGGACAAAATTCTACGTGCTCACGGACCAGGTTTTAACCGGTAGGTTGACGAATGGCTATTTCTAAATTGCATCTTAGATTATTTTCCAAGATATCGTCTTATTGTTAGTGTGAGTTTGATTATTACAGGCATATAGCACATAATGTAGTGGAGTATGTCCAAGTTTTTAGACCTGGAAACCCTACAGTCAGTTTTGTGTTATAGATCGTTTCATCCACGAAGACGCGCCCCACCATTCTTCCGCTAATGTTTGAGTGTTATCGGTACATGCTATATTATCCATGAGTGCACACGCACACTACAATAATGACGCTCGGATTGCTCGGATCAAACTCCCGCACTTCCATCGACCAAAAATTGGTGGGGCGCGTCTTCGTGGATGAAACGATCTATATGCCTGTAAAAGCTTATGTGATCATCGTTCACTGTGTTCGTTGCCAAATGTAATTGTTATGAACGTGTTAACACATTTGAAGTATGCATCGAATCGTGAGATACTTTTCGATCCAAAAAAAAATTCTTAAATTGTTCCAGATTTCGTGTGAAATCTTAGATTTATTTGATAGCTAGATTGGAAGAAATCAGAGTTGTGAATGTCACTTATCTTTCTCTGTGCAATTAATGTATAGTTAATAATAAAATGTATTGATACTTATTTTTGTATCGGGCAGAGGTCGGCAATATTTAAGTGATTTTTATGTTTAAAAATATTTTATTTTAGACTTAAATCGGGCTCGATTTTGTGATTTTACCAAAATGTTGCCCATCTCTGGCTGATACTTATGCATTTGTAAATAGAGTTGAATATCGAAATGAATGTTTTAGATGTAAGTAGGAAAAGTGAACTCTATTGACTATATTTTAAAGTAAACTCTCGAATATTTCAAATATAGTGTACATATTAAAATACATAATAACCCCAGTATTTGAACGGATATCAATTATTGAATTAATTACTTATCGAATATTATTTTATAGCTCAATAAAATACGGTTACCTACACCTTAAAAGGTGCGTGAAACACGATATCTGCTATCTCGTTCTTTACGTTTCGTACGAGTGAGAGGCACACACACACAATCTCATTTTTAATTATTTTCTACGTGTAAGGTTTGTAAATACAATCTTCGAAACTAAAATATCATAATACTTATTACAGATACCGAAATTTAAGACCCTTTTGTGGCATAATAATTATTTTGTACACCAAGTTATACATTTGTAACACTTTAATCATTTAATTATTTCATGTATTCATTCATCTACCAAAGTTTTTTTTCATTGTGATTGTAAGAGTACATCTGTACAAGTTTATACTATACATAAAGGTATTATTTATATGTGATTATGTTTATCGTGATGTATTTTATATTTACTGCGGATATTCTTTCTGCAAACATTTTTACATTTCAATTTTTCCTTCAATCTGTACCATAGTTTTAGGTGATGAATGAGTTTCTACAATTATTAATCCTTTCTATTGAATAAATATGCAATTACCCGCACAATATGGTACAGATTGAAATAAAACTACTTATTTACATAAAATATGTTAGAAAATTATATTTTGAAACATTGAATTCAATTTTGTGGTAAGTAGGTAGATTCTACTTAATTAATATTTGTGAATATAATGTGTAATTAGATTAAGGGACAAAAAGATTTGAAATATATTGGAGTTACGTTTGAAAGTTATGTTGTGTATTATTTTAAAAATTGTTTAACCTCTAACTTATTGAAATATCTTGATTTACTTAACTCTTGAAAAAAGCAACTATCTTAGATGGCATCATTTGATGTACTTGAATTTGGTTATTTTTGCCGTTAGATAATTCCTGGCGTAATTCCGGCGTTTCTTCTCAGCACTTGCCATATGTTTGTCTCGAAGCGCTGGTAGGGCCCAAAAGATAAGGAGTAAAGTGCCCCATAAGGGCAACCTTTTTTTTTATTATTTACTATATTCTGACGTTCATAAGTGCCACTTGTTTTCAAATATTTTTGATTTTGATCTAATCCGACATATTTTTCGAACAGGCACATACTGAAATGTCCAACTTGGAACTGAGAATAAATACGCAAAGTTATTTTACATTGTATGTATCCCACTTGAGAATCAAACCCGTAAACCTCTGAACCGATAGAGGCTCACTCATTAACCTCTGAACTAAAGGAGGACTCCATTCACCAACGATAGGTAAAGTGTACTAAAAATTGATCACATTACAAAGTTGTAAAAACCTCTACTTCATCACCAAAAGCTATGACAAAAGTGTGCAGCGACCAGCGACTCTAATATTTCAAGTAACACCTTTTTAGAGCAATCATAAATTATTCTTCTAAAATCTAAACCGTTCTATAAAACTAAATCTCTTGTCATTATTGTCAAACCGTGCGTCTGCATGTCGGTGAATTTTTCCCGTTTTTTTGTGAAATTGTTTTGTTCCCGTCAATATGTTGTGGTTCGCGAATCCGATCAGCATCAACAGCTACTATGAGTTCAAGCACTTCCAGTCCACATTGTTCGAGAAGTAAATACTTAGGTAAGATTTATTAATGTCTTTTTGTAAGTTTTTGTATCGCTTAAACGTGTGTAGTTAGAACAAAGTAGGATATGACATGACCACGCCCACTCTTCCCGTGGATGTCGTAAGAGGCGACCAAGGCATATGTGAAAATCGGGCTTCTCCGTTACGTCTGATCAGCTGCAGCGTGGGAAGTGTCATCAGAGGCAACTCCTCACGCCGCAATTGAAGAGGGTGGTATTTCTATAGTAGACTAAATGACTTGATGATGATTATAATGACTTCGTTAACCTCCACTAGAGGAGCACGTCCCTCTTTATTTTACCAAAAGCAAATGAAGTACAGTAGAACGCCGATTATCCGAACGCCGATTAACCGAATCGCCAATTATCCGAATCGGTCCTAAGAGTAATATATAAAATTAAAACCAAGTAATTTTTGATTTTTTTTTGTTGGAATTCGGATATATTTCAACTGAACGTTTTTGTAGCAGTTTTACAATAACGCCAAGTAGAAATATATCTGTTTGTTAAACTAATTAAAGTTTTTTCTATGTGTGACAGTTCGTTTTTCTCTATTACCAGTCTATGTCCGATTATCCGAATTTTCGATTATCCGAATCGACCCCGGTCCCAATTAATTCGGATAATCGGCGTTCTACTGTACTTAGCCTATATTCCCCACACTGACGCTATCGAGCCCAACCATACGAGTTGGCTTAAAAATGTTTAGTTCTCTTCTTGTCCTTCCTTTTTGTATAAAGTCACAGATTTCTTTCTTTCTCTTTCTCCCGTTTCTACTTATTACTTCTTCCCTCTCTTTCTCCCAGCATGTTGACGCAGGTGGCGGTGACGGCGCTGCTAGCCGTGGGGCTCGCGCCCTGCGTGCTGCAGCGCGCCTGCCCCGCGCGGCCCCCGCGGCCCCCCTCCTCCGTCTGCATGCACCGCCTCGACCAGTCGCAAAAGTAAGGGCACTTTCTTAAGTAGCTGACTACCAGACAGTTTTTTTTTATCCACAACGAGGAAGCTCTTAGCCTGGTAACCTGGTAAGTGATGATCAGGCCGAAGGTGGAAGCGAGCTTCACCCGGAATCCTCAACCACGGAGGAACTGGATATCTTACCTCGTAACTGCCGGAACACAACAATGCTGTTAACATTAAGTTGTTTTAAGATAGAATGAAGAGCCAGGAGTAAAAAAACGCGAAGTACCTCGGTCCTCGTTCCCGCCTTCCAACGTCTGCATGCACCGCCTCGACCAGTCGCAAAAGTAAGGGCACTTTCTTAAGTAGCTGACTACCAGACAGTTTTTTTTATCCACAACGAGGAAGCTCTTAGCCTGGTAACCTGGTAAGTGATGATCAGGCCGAAGGTGGAAGCGAGCTTCACCCTTAATCCTCAACCACGGAGGAACTGGCTATCTTACCTCAAACTGCCGGAACACAATAATGCTGTTAACATTAAGTTGTTTTAAGATAGAATGAAGAGAGGTGTAAAAAAACGCGAAGTTCCTCGGTTTTCTTCCCCACCTTCTAACGTCTGCATGCACCGCCTCGACCAGTCGCAAAAGTAAGGGCACTTTCTTAAGTAGCTGATTACCAGAGAGTGTTAAGATAAGAAGAGCCAGGTGTAAAAACGCCAAGTTCCTCGGTTTTCTTCTCCGCCTTCTAACGTCTGCATGCACTGCCTCTGTGTGGACTATGAAGAGAAAAACGTAGAAAACTACTACGCTGTGACTACTTGGTTGAAACGAGAGTTGAATTGTAACGACCGACAACTAAGTACGAAACTCTACATTGCGCGTGGCAAGACACGCACTTGGCAGGTTTTCTTAAAGAAATGCTTTTGATCAATTACTTATTTTCAGAATTATTTTTCATTTATGGATGTTTCTCTTTCAGATCATCATGTAAAACAACAAGTTTTAAAGCGGCTAAGTAGCAAACAAGATATCCATGTAATATTCAAGGAAAAATCCTTTCTAAAAATTTTAAAGAATAAAGCGAAAAAATATTTTAGTGGTAACGGTGAGTATTCTTCGAATTTTAAGTATTTTTTCTACAAACTATCTTTCATCGAATGAACAAGTAGTAAAACAACCTCCTAATTTCATAATTACCCCAAAATTGCTTGAATGTTGACGCTCGGTCAACGACTATTGATGTAGATGGTCGAAGTTTAGGTTCGCAATTGTAAATAATGGAGACAATGCTGAATATTTGGCGAGTGACCGATGTTATGGGACAGCGTCCGCTGACGACTGTAAACAAAGCGTGTTGTTACTATCATAATTATGTGGCCCCTACCATGGTGTCGCAGTGAATGTATCAAAAAAGGCACAAAAACAACATTCATGTGGTAAAAAAGATAGAAACATTCACACAAAGGAAGAAAAACTGATAACTTATGCTGTGCAATTAATATTCGATACAGCACACTCATTGTCATGGTCTCGATAGTACATCCTCGTTTACTCTGTTCCTGCTGATTATTATTTACGTTTTAATATTTCCTTAGAAAAATGAGCTATTCTCACAGTATTAATGGTAGGAAAAAGCAGTTTCAAATAATTTGTCTCTAACGACTCTCCCTAAAAATAGTTTCATTTACCTACTGGTAGCGTTTATTAGATCTTTAAAATAAATTTTAGTTTTTAATCAATTTCCATTAAGGTGATATGGCTAAGCTAGGCCAAGAGCTTCTCCGTTGTTTGTGGATAAATAAAATAAATGGGTCTACCTAGTATTGGCTTGGGGCTCATGAGAGCCATCTCATTCGTAAATGCTATAGTAGAGCTTGCTTAAATGCCTGTTAACTCGTGCCATTACATTATAAACAAACTATTTTTCAGGTATACAAAACTAAATTCTTAGCAAAATAACTCACTAGAAACACACTCAAGCTTTCCGGAACAATAGTAGCGGCCTTACCTTTGCTTCGTAATGCGCGCTCGTATAAAACACGGCGGGCACGGCTGCGCGCGCGGCTGTTCTTGTAAGCGCTGCATCGGCTGCCGTTGGATATCCTGCTGTTTCGCTTGCCGCTGCGTGTGCCACCGGGACGAGTGATGACGTGGATAGTAGCGTTTGGACTTCTGGCTGTGTTTGGGGGAGTGCATTCTGTAAGTTTGAGTGATATTAGACCTTAAAGACACTAGTTTCTGGACTTAGCTGTTACAAGCGCTGCAACTGCTGCCGTTGGATATCCTGCTGCTTCGCTTGCCGCTGCGTGTGCCACCGGGACGAGTGATGACGTGGATAGTAGCGTTTGGACTTCTGGCTGTGTTTGGGGGAGTGCATTCTGTAAGTTTAAGTGATATTAGACCTTAAAGACACCAGTTAGTCAGCTGTTAAAAGCGCTGCATCAACTGCCGTTGGATATCCTGCTGCTTCGCTTGCCGCTGCGTGTGCCACCGGGACGAGTGATGACGTGGATAGTAGCGTTTGGACTTCTGGCTGTGTTTGGGGGAGTGCATTCTGTAAGTTTGAGTGATATTAGACCTTAAAGACACCAGTTACTATCAGCTGTTGCAAACGCTGCATCGGCTGCCATTGGATATCCTGCTGCTTTGCTTGCCGCTGCGTGTGCCACCGGGACGAGTGATGACGTGGATACTTGCGTTTGGACTTCTGGCTGTGTTTGGGGGAGTGCATTCTGTAAGTTTGAGTGATATTAGACCTTAAATACACCAGTTTCTGGGCTCAGCTGTTACAAGCGCTGCATCGGCTGCCGTTGGATATCCTGCTGTTTCGCTTGCCGCTGCGTGTGCCACCGGGACGAGTGATGACGTGGATAGTAGCGTTTGGACTTCTGGCTGTGTTTGGGGGAGTGCATTCTGTAAGTTTGAGTGATATAGTCCTTAACCAGTTACTATCAGCTGTTGCAAACGCTGCATCGGCTGCCGTTGGATTTCTTGCTGCTTTAGACATTAAGGACAGCAGTTCCTGAAGAATACAACACTCAAAAGATGCGGTGTTTGTAAATTTTGTACATCATATTTTGAACTTTATGTGAAAGGAAGATGAGTGAAGCCTAAAAAAGCAGCATTTTTCAAATTCCCGTACATAACGCGAACAGCCGAAAACGATGCCTTATGTGTTTGGACTGTAAAACTTTCATCATGGAGTTTGATAAAAAAGTTTCTGTAACTTCTTGAAAATTTTCAAGAGAGGATACCTACGAGTTAGTTTGAATAATGCCCCAAAACAGTAATAGCAAGTGCCACTTTGAACCTAGATCGTTTCTACAACTTAGTGAAGTCATCCATCTACCCACATAGACTATCATATCAACACCATCCAAAGATATATTTAGAAATATTTTGAGCATGAAATAAACTTAGATCCCCGATATGATGACGTAGGTACTAAAACAGGCGATACAAAGAATGCTTGCAAACACTGTAATAAATCTTCCATTAAACAAACTGATTAAACAGTAGCCATTATAAACGCTAATGTCCTTGTTATTTCTTATTGTTTTAGTTTAAGTTTAAACAATACCATAACTACGATCTATTTTATATATTTTGTTTCATATTTGTTTCAGGCTTCTACAGGATGCAAGAACTGCATTGTGAGTAGTACTTACAATACTTATAAGCAAGTACTTATAATATGGCCATAAAGATTTATAATAAATTGCCCAATTATCTATTGAAAGAAAATAATGATAACAAATTCTCAAAAGAACTAAAAGAGCTTTTAAGTACAAAATGTTATTACACTATAAAAGAATATCTAGATGATAAAATAAGAATCTAATAATTAAAAAAGCCTCCTCTCTTATATTTTATATTTTAAATTGCAGCGCCCAACAGGGTCCATAATTAACTGTATTATCACACTGTAACACCTATATTACCTACTATGTATTATGGAAGCAATAAACATATTGAGTATTGAGTATTGAGTATTGAGTAACTAAACAAATAAATATTTTTCCATTGCTTGGCCATTTAAGTTGGGAATGTAGAACAATGCTATTATTTTTTTGAGAATTTTTATTTTGTCCATTGCATTCCCGTGACAGAGGAGTCTAGCAATGGTCGGTTACAGAGACTCTTATTGAGATTGCAAGCTTTGCAGCTGAAATGTAAGATTGTATTAGAGCTATTTTACATCAAAAATGTCTGGTGTGCAATCGAGCGTTCTATCGTGCGACCCACCTATCGATTCATGAAAATTTATTCATAAATGTAATAATAACGATGTCAGCTATCCCATTTGCACTCATTCCAGATTTTAGGCAAGGAGGAGAAGGCGATGTTCCGTGCCCACTCCGACGCCTGCCTGCCCCAGTCAGAGGTGGACCCGAAGTTGGTATGTTTCTCAACAATTTATAGATAATCTGGAGAAAATATGAATTACTGTATTATTGGTCGTTTGGTCAAGGTCTCTCACATTACTCAATTACATAATCACTCATGTCCCTAAAATATTTATCTTTATTACTTCCTTGTATTAATAATTTTGTTTTCGTATAATCATTTAGAGGCGCTTAGAAGTGGCTATATTGGTTAATATAATCAGTTTTTTTCTGAAAATATTACAAAATTGTCCAAACCTAAATAATAGGTAGGGTCTCGAGGAGGACATGGCACCCACAAGGTGGACCAACGTCATCATAAAGGTAGGAAGGCGCTGGATCCAGGCCGCTACCAACCGATCCCTTTTGAAATCATTGGGGAAGGCCTATGTTCAGTAGTGAACGAAATGATGATGAGGTAGGTACTCAATTGCTGGCGTCCAGATCTCTTCATTAGAATAAAATGACTTGGATAATGTTACAATCACTAACCTTATGTTCCACAGGTGGAGGCGATGCTCAACGGAGAGTTAACCGAGGACCCGGCGCTGAAGCGGCACGTGTACTGCGTGCTGCTCAAGTGCAAGGTCGTCGGCAAGGACGGCAAGCTGCACAAGACGGCCGTGCTGGGCAAGATGGCCGCCAGGGCTGACGGCAAGAACGCCACCAAGGTCAGTGTTCTCTTGCTGACTTTCTAGGTGGAGGGGTCGGTAGGTACTGAAGCGGCAAGGACGGCAAACAAGATGGCCGCCAGGACTAACGGTAAGAACGCAACCAAGGTCAGAAGTGTTCCCTTACTGATGCTCTAGGAGGTAATGATACGCGAGCTGTGAAAAGACCCGGCGCTGAGGTAACAAGGACGGCAAGTTGCACAAGACGGCCGTGCTTGGCAAGATGGCCGCCAGGGCTGATGGCAAGAACGCCACCAAGTTCAGTGTTCTCTTACTCGTTCTAGGAGGCGACGCACAACGTAGAGGTGATGTCAAGAACGCCACCAATGCTCAATGCAGGTCTGATAGAAAGAACGGTAGGACCAAGGTCAGCAGTGTTACCTTACTGACGCTCTAGGTGGAGACAACTAAGCGAGGACCCGGCGCTGAAGCGGCACGTGTACTGCGTCCTGCTCAAGTGCAAGGTCGTCGGCAAGGACGGCAAGCTGCACAAGACGGCCGTGCTGGGCAAGATGGCCGCCAGGGCTGACGGCAAGAACGCCACCAAGGTCAGTGTTCTCTTACTGACGCTCTAGGAAGAAGCGACTGAGATCGAGGACCGGTGCTGAAGGGGCAAGGACGGCAAGCAAGATGGCTGTCAGGGCTAACGGTAAGAACGCCACCAAGGTCAGTGTTCTCTTACTGAGGCTCTAGGAGGCGATGTTGACGCGAGCTGAGCGTGAACCGGGGCTGATGTGATACTGCTGCTTGCTAGGACTCACCAAGGTCAGTGTTCTCTTGCTAAAGCTTTTGGAGGCGATGCTACGCGAGTGGTCTTACAGCCCAAACGCGGCAAACAAGATGGCCGCCAGGGGCAAGAACGCCACCAAGGTTAGTGTTCTCTCGCTGATGCTCTAGGCTAGCTAGGAGGAGGGGCCGGCGCTGAAGCGGCGAAGACGGCAAGCTGCACAAGATGACCGGTCGGGTTATATCGCGTTATAATACGACCAAGGACAGGACAAACCAGCGAACAGCGTGAGGAGTTTAGACCAAACCCTCCATTTTGTCTCTGGTAAATAGCTGGTTGTGCAAAAGAGTTAGTTTGAAGTTAGACAGTCAAACACCTTCAAGTTTAATTGCTATATTGGTAGTATACACATTCCCGAAGTGAAGGTGGTATTACAAGCACGCGCGGATGCCGCTTTGAATCTTAAATGGTCAAGTACAATGACATTCACGTACTTCCGGTGACCTTTGAAGGTATTATTTTTGGTTCAACGAACGATTTTATAAATAAATAAAACTTGTATGAATCGTTGTTGTTATTTGCCGTTTTCAGCTCTAAAACCTTAATTTCAGGAACAAAACTATATTATTTACTTATCTAGAAGTTTGTATGGAATCCTCGGTGCGCGAGTCCGACATAGTCCACTTAGCTCACCTATCGATATTTTGTTCTCTCTGACTTTAACAAAAATTGAAAAATATAGAATCACGAATAGCGATATCGATCGGTGCTCTATATGGACTAGGCTAGGTGCTATTTTGGCGGGTGCTCTAAGTGGACTACGTCGCGATTCTGACTTGCACTTGGCCGGTTTTTAAATATTCCGTAAAATACTGACAAATATTTGAAGCCATTTTGAACTTTATTCACATGCTTTTTACCTTCATTTCCAGGTGCTAGAAGGATGCGCAGAACAAAGCGGCGACACCCCAGAAGACATCGCATGGAAGCTCTTCAGATGCGGGTACGACAAGAAAGCAGTTCTCTTTGAATACATGCCCACCAATATAGGTAGCGACATTATAGAAAACAACTCCTAATGCTTACGCACAGCACTAGTGTTGTCGATAATCGATTGTCGACCTTCTTCAATCGACATTTCGAAAACACCAATTCAATATTGCAAATTAATTTAGTTCTATATTCCACCGACAGAGAGCACTATAGACATCATATTTTACCCCATAAACAATACAGATGGCGCTAGTTTCCGTACCACTAGATTTTTCAACGCTTGTCAGTGAAATAGTGATCAACTTTGTTATTTTTGTCCGTAAAGTTACCATTTACAATATCTATTTATTTCTGTACACGTATAACTTAATAAATGTTTACTCAAAATAATATGATTTTTATTTTGCATTAACATTACGTTGCAAGATCGGTAAAAATGAGGGATTTCGCGATTGAAAAATCCGCCAGATGGCAATACGTAGACGCGAGGTCCAAATGCTGCATGATTGGTGGATTTTGACATATCTGTCAATATCATGTCAAAAATAACCAATCATGCAGCATTTGGACCTCTCGTCTAGGTATTGCCATCTGGCGGATTTTTCAATCGCGAAAACTCTCATTGCCGATGCATTAAGTTTATAGATATTTGGTAAAAAAAACTCGACACCACACCACATCACACAAAACATACTTAAGTAACACCCCTCTCTTTTAGCGTCGGGGGTTAAAAATAAGGAAAATTCGAGTTCGAAACAATCTAATTTAGGCGGTCTTATCGCTAGGAGCGATCTCTTCCAGACAATTCAGAATAGCCCTACAGTTCTAGGAAGGATTGAAGATGGTTTATTCAGAACATTGCTATGTCCGGATTTAAACCGCAAAATTAATATACATTTTAGGGTAAGGCGATGACAGACATAATTAATGGACTCTACAAAAACTTGAAACAAAATTCAAAGGAAAGATGAAGCTTACACGTGAAATATTCTAACGAGTTCGAGATCCTAAACCAATCGATCACTGCTAAATGCTAATTTAAATTAGTCGCAGTACATTTAGATCAATTGCTCATCTACCCACGGTACGCTTTTTCTACTTTTAAGCTAGGTAGTAGGTTGGTATTAGCTATAATTGCATCGCCTATGAAAACGTACAGTTAAGTGATTCGTCATTGTCGAACGCCGGTGTCATTACCCGGTGGTACGGGTGAAGTCATCACGGTGTCTAGGGCCGCCATTATTGCAGACTCGGACGATGACGAGTATCTAGCAAAAAAAATATAACGATTATCATCCATCAGTCTCGAGTCAGTCTACCAGATTCATCATGATCATTTTAGCCATAGGACGTCCACTGCTGAGCATAGGCCTCCCCCAATTTTATTATTTCTGACGGATTAGCAAGCTGAAGTGGCAATAGGCAGGGCACATAGTACGCAGAACTGACGGTCCATGGGGCAGCAAGGTTCTGGAGTACATACTTTCTGGAGACGAAGCAATGTTACTTATTGTAATTGTAATGTATTTCTCATAACAATAGTTTTACTGACTGAATTGTTTCCTAAAAGTTATAAGTACGAATTATATTTTTATTTGGTATCAATTTTCAAGATAGCTTTTATAGCTTTTTACCCGACTGCGCCAGAAGGAGGGGGTTATTAACAGTATTTTTTTAGATGGTCGTTGATTCTATACGTGCTCTACGTCCCGTAACCCGTTAAGTTCAAAACAATGAGATTTTATCGAATCGAAATCTTTATGACATTGTTTGGTTACACTTGCTACCAAGGTGTTTAAATCACACCTAATCACCTAGTCACAAATACTCGGTTGTTGTCATTTTATAAGGTTACTATGAGCACTATAGTATGAAAGTTTTTCGAAGGGTAGGAGAACGACGAATATTGTCCTCGTGCTTAAACTAGCTAGTAGAGCATTATTGTAGGAGCTTGAAAAGAACAAAGGGTTCCAATCAGGGTGACAACCCTACTCAACTTCATCATTTGCGTTTTTTCAATTCGACCAGTTGATGTAACTCGTGAGAAAAACTCTGAGGTCATGAGATTTAGATTCCTTATGACTCAATTTCGAATCAGTTCCGAAAACGACATTCCTTTAGCGCTTCATTTCAGCCAAATAAAAAGACTCCTCTAAGGATTTCCACAACGACCGGTCATTCATTAAGTAAGTACCTACTCGTACTTGTAATAAACATAAATTAAGCTTTTCTAGGTCCCTTACTTTTAAATTTCCTAGCTGTGTAGCTTTGTGTAAAGAATGAACCAACATTTATGCTACAATTTTACAGTCGAGTTGGAATGTAATGGAAAATTACAATAATTTGACAGTTATTTCCCTTGTTTCTTATACTGTGTAAACTGTAAATTATATTTTGGGAAAGTCTCTACCTACCTATCACTAGAGATTCGGTTATGTGACCCTCTTTCGCTAAACAACATGCTCTATCAAACAAGTGACAAGCGAGGGAAGCTGCACTGCAACTCGTACGAGGCTTGTGATCTCATTGCAGCCGTGGGCGGTGACCCACAAGTTGCTGGCAGTACACCGCGCGTGCCTTCGCCTGCCTGACAGCGGCGGACATGTTTGTTTTTACGCGCGAAAATATTAAAAAGTTTGACGTTTGAAAAAAATTGTGACAGTTGTGTGGTGATTTTTTTTATTGGCTCGCACGGGTGTGGTGATTTAGAACCTTAAAATTAAGTGACATAGGGAATATTGTAACTGTAATTGTGATTAAAACCAAGGAGTTTATATATTAAAGTGAAAACTTTTTCGTTCAAGCAAAGTTTGGAAAACTTGCATTTCTTTTTTATGTGCTCAAATTAAATAATATTTAGTTTGTGATTGTGTTATTATTGTAAAATAAGAAAAAGTTTATTTTGGATTTCATGCATGGATGCGAGGAGAGCAGACTTCTTAATTTCGTTAAACGTAAGTTTTTAAATTGAATTAAAATTAAATAAAACTTTTTTTTTTTCAGAAAAAGTATTATTATTATGACAAGTACCTAAAACATTATTAAAGTGTTCTGAAAAGATCTTTTTTATTCAAAATCTATATTTATTTAGAATAAGAGCTTTTAGTTCCAAATTCACCTATTTCCGCATTTGTTTACATTTGGTAAAAAATATAAATAAAAACGTACAAATATGACTAATTCGCAAATATTTGGGGCCATAAATCATTAGTCAAATCTTCAATGTTATTATAACGCCATAACTTTAAGGGCGTGGGAGCGACGGAGGCTTATATTTTGGCAGTCGTTGTAACAGAGCATTTACACAATACGACTTTTATTATACAAGACTACTTTAATTTTGTTTTAGCCCAAATAAATATTTATCGAAAACCTCTTCAAAGTTTTCCATGCTCTACCTTATGAATACAAAGTAAATAATTCCTAATCATTGCTATGTCTCAATTTTATTGCAATAAAGAGATTACAAAAACAGTATCTTTTCTGTATTTGAATCTAATTCAATAAGTTAATTAGGTTGCAACACTTAAACGAGTTGCATACCAAGAGCTAAGCTAAGTTAGTTTAGCTTAACTTGTACTTACGAGTATAGCTGATGTTGTTTTCCATAGTTGTGTACAAAATTAGTTAAACACTTTAAGAAACAGCGTCAGCATCTAGGGATAAGCTAACTTAGCTTAACTCTTGGTCTGCAACGTATTTACAATGGATATAAATAGACTAGCTGTGTCCGCGACTTCGTACGCGTGAAAACCCGTTTCCGCAACATTTTTCATTTTTGCTATGCACCTATATTACTCGTAGCGTGATGGTATATAGCCTATAGCCTTCCTCAATAAATGGGCTATCTAACACTGAAATAATTTTTCAAATCGGACCGGTAGTTCCTGGGATTAGCGCGTTCAAGTAAACAAACAAACAAACTCTTCAGATTTATAATATTAGTACCTATAGATTTAACATTTTGAAATCAGACAAGAAACTGACTGAAACCATACCATATTAAGTTTTTAGTAAAATAAACCTTTATTCAAAATATGTCCTTTTTGCGTTAAAAGCTCGTTGCATGTAAAAGCTCCACGTCATACTCAAACCTTTCGGATCAATATGGACATCGGTAAGGTCTTTTTGGTTTTTATTGACGTCTCTAACCAAAATTATATTGATTTTTGATCAGCTGAACAATGGCTTCTGCGGCTTAACCGAAAAGGGAAATTTGGTGTGTGAATCACCAAAAAGTATTATAATTCTGATTGGAGATTAAAATAGTAAGAAAACTGATGAAAAGACTTAAACTTAGCAATCTGAAACTTAATAACTTGTTACCTTTATAAGGCCTACTTTATAGTCACCAAACATTGAAAGTCCTTTCCGCGATAGAACAATTTGGTAGGCAGAAGTTTGACACGCAACATTTAACACTAACTTATGATTCTGGGATTCGAACCATGTTGTATTTCTGAGCACGAAACATTAAGCCAAACCATTCTCCATTCCATCCAATAAATCTTATCTTGATTAGACCGCGTAAGACAGGCAGACTTCTATTTGAACTCATTAAAAAAGTCGTCTACATATGTCTTTTTATCTACGTCTAAAAGTCGAAGTCCAAATACGCTGACCGATCAATGCTCACGCACGACCCACGCACTAAATCTAGATGACAGCACGACAGCACTTCATTATTTTATTACACCAATTCAATTAAACCTATCAAATCTGTCATAAACTTTTTGTCCCGACTCTATATTTTATATTTCTCAGAAGGTGTGGAATCAGTGATGTGGGCGACACCCACATCGAAATAATTATCGATAAACTTAAACATGCGCTTGCGTCGATAATGGCACACAACTATATAATTTTACAATCGGCGCTTTGTGATTTATTCGGCGCCTGAGGTGCTACGACAATTGAATCTACGCGTTATATGGCATGTTTTAGTGAATAAATTAATTTAGATAATAACATAAATGTATATCGTGGTGTGTCATCACCTCATCTTCAAAAGTTAGATTGGGAATAAAAAAAAGGTGCCTAATTTGAAGTGTACATTTTAATACTTCAGATCTTTCTCTAGAAAATTGGAAGTGACTCTAAATTGAACGATGCTTAAGATTGATTTTTAAACAGACCCGTAGGCAAATACTTTATACTTAGGTACATGTGGTGCTTTTATTTGAAGATAGAGGGATAGTAAGCGTAAGCGGTTACTTTAAAAACCACGGAATTACATCA